CGAAAGCTCCCCGGTTCGCCCGGCAGCTTCGCCAGCCTCACTCGGATCGCTCACAGACGGACAGCGGCCGTCATCCGCCGCCGCTTCCTCCATTGATGTCGACGAGGCAGCTGCATCTACAGAGGAGGCCTGCTGCTCTATTCTGGGTTCGGACCGTGAGGATTGGGCGAGCTCTGTGGATCTCCCCCGTCTGCCCGTGAGTCGTCAGGGAAATGGGCCAGCATCGAGTCAGAGCTGATGCGTCTGCTCTCACAGGCCGTGGCAAGCCTCTGCCTCAAGTGGGAGGCACAACAGGCTGGATGGATGTTTCCTGAAAAGGGACCGCGCCCCGCCGTCTTCTAGGCCCGTGCCTTTTCTTCCAGAGCTTCACAAAGAAGTCGCGAAGTCCTGGAACACCCCCTTCTCAGCCAGAGTGCGCACCTCTGTCTCAGCAGCATTCTTCGTGGTGGACGGTGCTAAAGACAGAGGATACCTCTCTCTTGCCCCAGTGGAAGAAGCTGAAGCGGCCCATCTTTGCCCGCCCTCGGCTGGACGGCGAGCTAAGACGGCGCTACCCTCTAAAGCTTGCCGTGTTACTTCCTCCATGCACGGTCGCGCTTATGCCGCCGCTGGACAGGCTATTTCGGCATTGCACTCGATGGCCGTGCTGCAAATCTTCCAGGCCGACCTTCTCCGAAAACTGGATGAGGAAGGACCGGAAGCTATCAGCGTGCCGGATTTGAGAAGCACTACGGACCATGCTCTTCGCGCCACGAAATCCGCTGCACAGGCCATGGGGCGGAATATGGCTTCTCTCATCGTTGCTGAGAGACATCTTTGGTTGACGCTATCGGAGATGCCGGACTCGGAGCGCTCTGTGTTTCTCGACGCACCCATCTCCCCAGCTGGCCTCTTCGGATCATCCGTCAAGAATTTCGCGGATAGATTCGCCGAGGTTCAGAAGACGTCACAGGCTATGAAGCACTTCTTGCCGAAGCGCTCGAGCCTCCTTTGTCCAGTCAGGGCATTAAGAGCTTATGTGTCTCGCTCGTCTATTTTCAGACAGACTGAGCAGCTCTTTGTTTCGTTCAGCGGACGTGCTAAGGGACTAGACGCATCGAAAGAGCCTATCCAGATGGATAGTTGATGCCATCGTACTGGCGTACACTTCTAAAGGCTGTCCTTTGGGTGTCAGAGCGCACTCCACAAGAGGCATGGCCTCGTCGTGGGCTTGGTCTAGCGGGATTACCTTGCAGGATATCTGTATGGCGGCAGGCTGCGCCTCCCCGTCTACATTTATAAGGTTTTATAACCTAGAGGTTTCCGCCTTACAGGCTAAACTACTTTCGTTCTAAAGATCAGTACTGCCTGCTCCATTGCTTTGGCTCAGAATACTGAGACCGCTTGAGCACCGCTCGCTGATCAAAAAAAGAAAAGAAAAAAAAAGAAAAGAAAACTCCATGGGCAATAAGTAAGACCCATACCGTTACCCAGTTCAGGCCGAACATTTTCACCCTGACTGTGTGGAACACTGTTGATGTGATTAGCTCCCTTATTGGGAATGACACTTCTAGCCTCTCTTCTTAGACTCTCTGTGGGCCCTGGGCACCTGCCCTTGGGATTTTGGGGTTGGATCCCAGCACGCACAGCGTTTTACATTGTGTTCCCCTAGCATAAGATATTACGCAGTACGAGAGAACCTCTCGTAAGAGAACGTACTCAGTTACCAACGTAACCTCTGTTCTCTCTAGAAGAGGGAACAAGTACTGCGTATCTTTGCCGTCCCTGCAACATGCTCTGGTTTGCTTCGACGATTAAAAACCAGATTATATCAGCCCATCGAGCTGTATTTATAGGCCCAGGCCACGCCCGCTTTAGCGGGAGGTGACGTAGTGGGCGTTAAGCGACCCCATTGGATCTGACGTCACCAAGGGCCTCTCTTGATAGGCTCCTGCAGTTGCTGCAGGACAGCCAATAGGCACGCGAGCCGTCTTGCCTATGTCTGCATGCTGCCGCAACGCGTTTTACATTAATTCAAAATTAAGGATAATTTTTGGTTTCAATATCTCGTGGAAAAGAGGTTTCCCCTAGCGTAAGATATTACGCAGTACTCGTTCCTTCTTCTAGAGAGAACCAAGGTTACGCTAGTAACCGAGTACGTTTCAGTATATAGAATGTTCATATTTGCTGACATGTGTATTATTAACATATTATCAGCCACTTTTTGAGATGCATAAATTAATTTAAAATATGTTTAGATTGATAAAACAATGAATCTTGCAAATGTTGTTTTGATTGTTTAATCATTGAGATTAATTAAATATGTTCAGTGTATCCAAATACAAAAAATTCTAATTCAGTTCATCTTGATTATTAGCTAAAGTTAATTCATCAGCTCAGTGTGAAGTGACATTTACCATTACCTGGACTTGCGTTCTCCACCGCACTCCGTTAATGTAGCAAGCATGCTTTAGTCCTGCTCTTAAACTGTCAAATTTATTTCTAACTCTTCTACAGAAATAACAGCTGCTGGAAATGATTGTGAAAACTCTTTGTTCACCGAATGCCTACGGAAGCACTGCTAATGCCACTTAATCTAGTGCTACTCAATCAACTGTTGGCTAATATGACCTGTTATCGTGGAGCTGCTCCAGAAGTCCTCACAGTTTCCTTCAACTTTCTCTTACTTGTTTCTTTGTTCAAATTTTAATTTTTATAGCACTAACACATGCTTCATTACACTTTGTCTCTGTTGGCTGAGGAGATATTAATTCATTAATTCACTAATTCATTTTCTAAATGTTACATGGTCTTGAGTCATGAAAGAAAATGTGGTGTTCTTTTATTATAAATTGTATATAATGCTAGTAGTTATATCATAATATTTATACTTATAATAGTAGTAATTATTATTGTTAATATTATTATTATACATATATTATACATATTTTTTAATGATTTTTCATGTTTTCATTGTCCTTTTTGCATCTATTTAAAGGCTAATATACATCAGGATGACCTGCAGGCATTTGGAATGGGACTAATAACAATTTAAATGCAATAAATAAATAAATAAATAATACTAGCTTACTAAGATTATTGCCAGTTATGCTGAAAGGGTTTTCATTAGTGTATTTAGTCCAGCTTCTTTGCTCAAGTGCTCAAATGATTAGAATTTCTTCTTGGTTTTTGTTCTGAGAGCACATGAGGCTGGTGTGGGGCATCTAGTTTGTTTTGAAGGGAGTGCTTTGATGGCAAGTTGTCATAGAAACAGCTTGTAGTATACCACTGTTCACAGAGGGTGAGCTATGATCAAGTATACCAAGTACAAAATAATATGATGTTTGATCATTCATGATGTCTGATTAGCTTTCCTGTGTTGCAATATAACCCTGAAAACTGGACTGTGTGGTTGTCTGAATAAATGATAGACTTGATGTCAGACATGGAAGAAAGGACAGGCAATATCAATTTATAAGTTTGATAATATCTGATGATATGGTTGATAATTATTATTAACAAACAAAAAAATATCATACAACACAGATATGTGACAGGAAATGAAGAAAGTTGTGATTAAATAAGAGAAACAGAAAAGGAAACTGTGAAATGTATATCAGTCATTCTTTTTGCTTAACCATCAGAATTTTAAAAACATCACTTTTTGACAATGATTGTCAACCCAAAAAATGTTCACAGCTCTGTTGAGCAGCAGGAAAAATCATATAATTGTTGATAATTAGGATTGCAAAATAAGCTACTTATGTAAATATCAACTTTTAAGACAGAAGAGAAAATATATTTTCGTTGTTGATGCCAAACACATGCAAACAAACTTCAGTTTTTTGCCACAAATTCATGTCACTTGGTATGTTAGTAAAATTAGACAGATGTCAACAGCAAAGGTTGTGTGACATGCCCTCATCCTTAAAAAATGTGAACAAACTAACACAGGATAAAAGAAAATATAACCCAGAATATTATAAATATGGATTCTCTAATCAGTTGTACTCCTGTTGTTGTTGTTTGTGCATTTAGGAAATCTTCAATTTTCATAGTCAGCCTTTGTCGTGTAGGTAATGGTAATATCAATACATTTCCATTTAAAAAAAAAAAAAAGAAATTTGTGTTTATTTAATTTTATTTTTATGATAATTTTGGTCTGGTCTGGCCACTGCAAAAATCTTATATCTTAAAAACTAGCTTATACAAAAAGTCGGTTTCAGATTTGTTTGTAGGGGAGACAAAGCTGCTGTCAGCACCCTGAAATCTAAAGATGGGCTAAACATTTTCTGCTCCTCTGTTTTGCTTCCTTACGTTGACAGGTTCTTGAAGGCATTCTGTTTCTTCTGCTTTGTTTTGTTTTTTCAAGCAGTGAATAAAAGACGAAAGGGAAAGTGTAGAAGATGCAGACAAGTTAAGCTCGTCACAACATTTTGACTGCCTCAGTGTCATGCTATGAAAATTTAATTACAGCTCGAAGTGAAGACCATAAATGTGCACAGTTAGGTTGAAGTATTCGTGCATTTTTATGACTGGTCTATATAGCTCTAATTAGACCTTGAAGTCTCATTCTCACATTTTGACCCTTTTAGAAGACGGTTCTAGTGTCCTTTCTACGAGTAGATGGTTGAAAGCTCAATGATGGACGATTAAGCCATCAAAAAGCCACTAGACTGAGCACAACGTGACATCCATCCGTGATGTGCAAAAGGGCAACACAACAGGGGTTTTTCTCTTATACTCCTTGAATTTCCAGAGCAAGGAACAGAGACTTTCTTTTCAAAAGTTAAAGAGATCTCTAGAACAGATGTTAATATCACTTTCAGCATAATTTCTCAAAAGCAAATTTACAAAAGTTATTCTGTTTGGAAACCTCTGATCTTAAATCAAAGGTTCAGTCTATATTTGATCTATTTTCATCTCACTCTTCATCTTAAATACTGTTTTTAGCTCTCTGCACATGAGTCTTGGTTTTTAACCACCGTCTTTTGCTTTTTCTCATGCTCTGCCTGTTTCAGATGTGCGGGGGATGCGTGGATTCCTGGACCAGGCGTCTCGGATGGGTTTGGATGTGTCTCTACAGCAGGTTGACCGGAATGTGACAAAGGTCTTTTCTACCCTGTTCAGCACGATGAGGATGGAGGAGCTGAACCGTTACCGGGACACGCTCAGACGGGCCATCCTGCTGCTCAGCCCTCGCACTGCCCAGGTCTTCATACACCAGGTAAGAGCCATTGTGACAGCAGTTCGGAAGTGATACGCATATACATGAATATCAGTCACATGACCTTTTTTACGTCATCCGCTCTTTTTCCAGTTGACTGCCGCCATCTTGAGTACCTGCCGAGTACTGTCTACAATACTGACGGCATTAGCTAGGAAGCAGATTTTCTCTGTTTGTTTCACTTTATACATAACCAACTTTGTTTATGTAAACCCTGTGTTTATTTGACAGTATTCGCGCAATAAGACTAGAAAGATAACTTAGTTCAGTAACCTGTCACTGTTGTTAGACAGGCTTAGTGCGCGTGCGCTTCGGGTGTACGCGCTCAGAAAAGCGCTCGTTAGAACCCCGCATCAACACGTGAATGACTTGTTAGCACATGCAAATAATGAACTTATGTGAACTGCATTGTCCCGTTCCTCTGCGTTAAGATTTGATGTGAATATACGTCGCGTTGTAGCCTATGCTGAGACGGAGGCGCCAGAACTGCAACTGATAGAATGCACGATACTACGACATTTCTTCAAAAGCAGATTGTGGATATATTTTAATCCACGATCATAAATCGTGATATCGCACACCCCTAAGCTAGCGTAAGCTCATTATCATTTACATCCACTCACCACAGACAAAATGAACACTGCACAGAGAGTTTGCACACACAAACCACTGTTATAACATAAAAGCAAGCAGCTACTGCGTGCATGGTTGGGCATGATATGATTGAAGGATTTTGACTGAATGCGCGCAAAGTGCGCTCTCTTAATAATTCCTAAAAAGCTGACATCAGTTAATCGCGATCTCACATCTCTGTTAATATCTATGAAGCTGACTGCACAATGAATCTTTCATAATATATACACTTTGTTTGTTACAATTAGAGGATTTGTCAGTATACAGAGCTCTGAACAAAAAGTCCGTTTTGAGCATACTTACTTAAGAAAATTAGAAATTCTGCAAAAAAAAATAATTCGTGCCATATCATGGTCTAATTTCAATGCTCCAACTCGTTCTATTTTTCTTAGGTACGGTATTTTAAGACTAACTGAATATAATATATATTTCACAATGCATGTACTATGTATCAGGTGGTCTTTGGATTGAATGGCAGTTTGTGTGAGCTTGTTCCCATCCGCTATCCCCGGCACACTCACCTCACTAGAAACAAGCACATTATTATTGGTAAAAAACGGAGATTAAAAAGCACTGGTATGAATGTAGTTTGCCGGGGACCGCGGATTTGGAACGAGCTGAATGAAAATTTGAAAAACTCAAGCTCTTTTTTTTTCTTTTAAACAACATCTCAAGAAACAATTATTAAGCTTGTATTCATCTTCTTGATGTATTTACTACCTCTCACTCTGCATGTATGTCAGTGTTACTCTTATAATCTCAAGGTAAACTGTCAAACAAATTGTACTTGTTAAATGGGATCCCTTACTATGTGTTGTTTGAATGTCATGTATGAAATGTTTATATGTAGGCCACACATTTTTTTCTTCTTTTTTTCTTTCTTGTTTTTCCTTTCTTTTTTTGATTGTAATGGCCCCCTAGTATAAGCTTTAGATAGCTTCTTTGGGGACCAGTTCACATGCATGATTACTTCTTTGTTCTTGGTTCTATCTCAAGTGTACTTGAATATATGTATGTGTATGTGAATAAAAATCCAAGACCCTTAAAAATCCATAGAGGTTTTGAGCAGTGAGGGGAGTCTATCTTAAATGCTTCTGATTGGCCTTTGCGTTGAAGAAATCAACACGTATGTCTGTGATTGGCTACATCGCTCAACGCTGCAAACGTGTTTTAAAGCGAAACTCTGGCCTGTAAATCGTTTCTATTTTGTTTTTGTTCTTGTTGCTTTTCTGCAAAAATGTATTTGTTTTTATATGTTTTATTCATAGATATTTCTAGTTTGCGGGAGTCCCGCGAATCGTTTTATTCTCCCTGCAACGCGCACACACACAGAGAGTGCATTGCCGCTCGCACTCGGCCATCAAATCTAGTCCCGCGCCGCACTCTTTTGCATTGGGAGTGCACGTCTCTAGATCAAGGGCCCGGCCCGAGGATAGTGACGGGAAATATCGGCCCGCAAGTTCGGGCTCGGCCAGAGAATAAGCTCTAGTTCCTTTGCGACTGACGTATCGATCTTGCCGAATCAGGTACTCAAGATGGCGGAAGACAAGTTTTAGAATTGAGTGACGTCAGTGAGGAGACGTTGGTGACATCATCTGATATTCATGCATAGCTGGGAAGATGCAATGATGCTGTTATGCAGCAATGTCTATATATTTGAAATAGTATAATTTGTATTAGGCTATAGAATATACATCATAATCAATTGTATGCACAATACAATATACATATATTAATAATAATGTTATATTATATTAATGTTATATTATAATTAACCAGTAGAAGTCTGCAGACGTCTACAGAATGTCCTGATTTAGATTTAGTTTGATTAGGCTGTATGTGTTTGTGTGGTCTATGGCATAGTGTTGTTTGTTGTCCGCTAATAAGTCATTTTTGAATTAAGCTTTTGCTGGAGAGGCACGTGGACTGTTGTCCCAAATGGGTTGGAAAATAACTAAAGTGGCTCATCCTGTGCATTGCATTCTGTTTAGCTGTAATCTCAGCAAAATGATCTGAACACTTTACGATTGAAGGAGGAGAGAATCGTGTTTAAATTAGTGGGCGCTATTTGGGAATGCAGCGATTGCGATCACATTTAGAAGGTTGTTGGTTTGAATCCTGATGTGTGAGGGATTACGACTGAGTGTCAGGAGGCTGTTTACATCTAAATCCCGCACTCTGCTGTGGTCACTTCCGTAGGGCCCTCAAAAAAGAGACCTAACCAAATGACTCTTCCAGCTATTACAGTCCCAGGTTACACTTTATTTCCATAGTCCATTGTAGATATAACTTTGCAACTACATGTCAACTACAGTAACTCTCCTTAGAGTACTAGTAGAAAAAGTTGATGTACTTGCAAAGATACTTGTAGTCATTAATGTAAATGTGATATGAGGGTTGAAAACTGCTCATTTTATCAGACAGCCACCTTGTGAAAGTGAGAATTGCATACATCCACATACATAAATACATAACTAATTTATATTTATGAAAAAGTGAGCATTCCAGTGTCCCTGAGAACATTTTTAAATATGTTAAATATGTTCTTATTATTATAATTGATGTATTATTATACATAATCTTTGATCAAACCATATTTTTGCTCCATATCTACTGCAGAATCAAAAATGGAGGATATAATCTTTAAAATAAATATTATTTATTCATAATTTGAGCTGCTTGTGAATCATAAAGTGCAGTGCTGATTAATTGTACACCTCTCACAAATCCTTGCTTTCCAGCTCAGCTAATTAGAAATGTGTACTGAGAGTGTGTCTTTTCTGAACATTTGTGTATATCTGTTTGGGTTTGCAATGCATAGCTATACTTTGGGAAAAGAATTGTAACCCGAAGTTCAATAAAACTAATCAAAATCTCGCTTTAGGGACATATCTGTGTGTGTTATTAGATCAAATAGTATTACATTATTTAAAATGAAACATTCTGTTGAGCAAAAAGCAAGTTGTCTTAAAGTGTGCATAAAGTTATGTAGTAGTTCCACTACCGTTCAAAAGTTTGGGGCCATTAAGATTTTTTTTAGAAAGAAATTAAAAAATGTAGTCAGCAAGGATGCATTAAATTGAATAAAATCAAAAAACTGACTTTAAAGACTTTTACATTTGTTACAAAACTTACTTAAAGAATCATGTAACACTGAAGACTGGAGTAATAATGCTGAAAATTCAGCTTTGCCATCACAGGAATAAATTACATTTTAAAACATACTAAAATTTGTCTCAGTATTACAGTTTTTACTGTATTAGATGTATGAATACAGCCTTGGTGTGCATAAGAGATTTCTTTCCAAAACATATCCTACCAACCCCAAACTTATGAACAGTAGTGTATAAGTAGCTTTATATGAAAACAATAGCAATAGCATTGTGGTCATCAAGATTGGAAAGTTTCTTAAATCATCAGCTAAATCAGGGTTTGCTTTAAATCTACTGATATCAACAGGTTTGTGTGAGGGTTAATGTTGTGTTGGTGGAACCAACATGTGTGTGCTGAGATTGAACCTGGGGCCAGTTTGAACAACATGGTTCTTCCACTGGTTAGCAGTGTGACAGTTGAGAGATAGAGTTCTTTAGAGCAGCAAAACATCCTGGGAGTTTTCTGCAATGGTTTAAAAAGTCTAAATTGAACTCTGAGTAGTCGAGGGAATGAGTTTGCCATGCCATCTTTCTCCTGCTCTAGCCCTGTGGGCAGTAATTCACTCTTATCTGAATAACCTTGTCTGTTTGAGGAAGTCTTGTATATGTGTGTATTTCCATGGTGATTTGCTGCTCTGAGACACAGTCAGATAAACAGCTGGGTTCAGAGAGCTGCTATCAGTGTTTTAGGGAGGTTCTCCATGCTCTGATTCTTCCATGGCTCTCTATGCGATTCACACAGCCATTACCACCGCTGTGCATTAGGCTGAGCGTGTCGGCCTGTCAGGACTTGCAGAGAGAGGTGGAAAATAGCCGAGGACACAAGGTACATCCATCCAGTACATATAGTCTGTCATTTAATAGCTATCCACTCGTGCATGTGGACACATGGTACTGAGCCCAAGCACAAACTATCCAAGAATGACCAGATAAAAAATATAGCAAGAGATGCATCTGATCTCCAAAAATCCATTCATTCCCGAGAGCCAGAAGCCCATTAGCCAGATGACTGGCTCAATCGGAAGTCTCCCTGCTGTGGTAGACAGACAGTGTAAGCTGCTAAATGGACGGTGAATCAGCAGCTTATATGTTTTTAACAAACACATTATTGGAGCATTCATTTTGTTTCCAGTAATTAAAAATGTTTTATTTACAACAGTTATTGTTCTTTGAATAAGCTGCCTTGTTTTTTGGGGCGTTAGTAAAGCTTGGTGG